GGCCTTGCAGCTCCACTGCCGGGCCCCATGAGGGGCCCGGCGGTGGACCTCCAAGGCCGGCGGGAGTGCTAGGAAGCCCCGCGAAGGCCCTCCCTGGCCCCAGGCAGGCAGGGGTGGGGAGAGGCAGGGAGGAAGCAACTTACCCTCCCTCTTCTCCTGCCTCCTCCTGGCTGAATGAGGGCCGGAAGCGGGGTGGCCGGAAGCAGGGGACGGGGCTTCGTCATGTGCCCCGCCCCCGTACCTCACCCGGGGGAACTGCGATCTCCCACGATCCCCCCCGAAATGACCTCTGATCCCAGCATCTCCAGCCAAAAAGATAAGAGAGCGGGTGATGTGAGAGACATCCACCGAAGACCCTGGAGAACTGCTGCTGGTGAGAGTAGTGATTTTTTTTTAGGGAAAGCTGGCCATGACAAATGGTGTTCCTGGATAAAAGTCAGCTTCGTGTGCTCAAGGCGCATGCTTTCCTCTAGGGCAGCCCAGCAAAGGATATATCATTCCTGTGTTCTCTAGGCAGAGCTGGAAACGTTTCAGGGGTGGGGGATCCTAAAAATGTCTTCCTAAGCAGCACGCACACAAGGAAAACTGGCAGGGGTCTCCTTTCCCATGGCAGCCCACCACCCTGCTCCATGGGGTCCATGGACCCTTGGAAACAGTGTCACCGATTCCGCAGAAGCAGTTGTTGCGCCCTCAGTTTCCCGTTGCCCCCAGTTGTACTGCTCAATTTCCCACTATTTGCTGCTTGGCCGCATTTTGACCCGCATCTCCCCCTGATTTCCCTTGCAACTTCTTGATCCTAAGGACCAAGGGTGCAGCAAATGCTTTTGCGGAATCGGTAAGAGTGTTTGTGTGCATGCATAAATGTTTGTGTGCACGCGCATGTGCTTTCATAGGGTAAGGGAAAGGAACAAAAAAGAAACACCTTGCATTCTGCTTGTGCAAGTGAGCGAACTGTGGGATCCAGCCCAATGTACCAGCAGAATGTTACTCAAGAATCCTTAAGGTAAAGGTAAAGGTAAAGGTTCCCTTGCTCGAAAGCCAGTCGAATCCGACTCTAGGGTTGCAGTGCTCATCTCCGTTTCAAAGCCGAAGAGCCAGTGCTGTCCCAAGACGTTTCCGTGGTCATGTGGCCGGCATGACTAAACACCAAGGCGGACGGGACGCTGTTACCTTCCCACCGAAGTGGTACCTATTTATCTACTTGCAATTTCTTGCTTTCGAACTGCTAGGTTGGCAGGAGCTGGAACTAGAGACGGGAGCTCACTCCATCATGCGGCACCCGGGTCTCGAACTGCTGGACTACGGACCTTCCACAGCCTGCAGTTCAGCGTCTTAACCACTTGAGCCACTGCAGCTCCTCAAGAATCCTTACCCGTCCTTTAATTTAATAAAACCTGACCACTGTCCTTTTAACATCTCTTGATTTATATGTTTCTGAAGCTTGCTTCAATTGACCACTGTGTCAGACAGGAAGTTGGACTAGATGGACTCGTGGTCTAATCCAGCAGGGCTTTTTTTCTTATGTTCTTATAAGGGAATTAGATAGATTAATGGAGGATAAGTCTATCAATGACTGCTAGCCATGGTGACTGAAGGGAACCTCCACTTTCAGAGGTACTAAACCTCTCAATCCCAGAGCCAGGAGGCAACATCAGGGGGAGGCCTCGGCCTCTATGCCCTGTGACTGGCCATGCAGAGGAACCGGTTGGCCACATTTTGGACTGTCTTCATTGAGTAGGATCCAACCAGCTTCCCAGCTGGTGAAGAAATGGAGGAGAGAGAGAGACCCCTTTCTGGCCACCCAAAAAACACCATGCTGGAAATCTGAGGACCTGCCTGAACCAGAGCCATGTGTGCCAGGGGGATTCAATACAGAGGGGAATTGGGCAAGGTTTAGTAAAAAAGCTGGCAGGATCCAATCCTTTGGTTCTGACTTAATGAACTACCTTTTGATCCATACAATGACCGTGCTCTCACTCTTCTATTGTAGATTGATCAAGATGGGTAGCTGTGTTAATCTGTCTGTAGCAGCAGAAAAGAGCAAGAGTCCAGTAGCACCTTAAAGACTGACAAAATTAATGGCAGGGGATGAGCTTTTGTGAGGGGCCGCGGTGGCTCAGAGGTTACGATGCTGAGTTGCAGACTGGAAGGTTGGTAGCTCGGCAGTTCGAGACCCGAGTGCAGCGTGACGGACTGAGCTCCCGTCTCTGGCCCCAGCTCCTGCCAACCTAGCAGTTAGAAAGTGAGAAACTGCAAGTAGATAAATAGGTACCGCTTCGGTGGAGAGGTAACAGCATTCAATGTGCCTTGGCATTTAGTCATGCCGGCCACATGACCAAAGAAAAGTCTTCGGACAGCGCTGGCTCTTCGGATTGGAAACGGAGGTGAGCACTGCCCCCTAGAGTCAGATTCGACTGGCTTTCGAGCAAGGGAAACCTTTCCCTTTCCCCATGAGCTTTTGTGAGTCACCGCTATCTGAAGAAGGGAGCAGTGACTCACGAAAGTTCACATCCTGCCACAAATTTTGTTAGTCTTTAAGGTGCTGTTGGACTCTTCTATTGTAGGTATTTTTCCTTCTCCTTCAGGGCTGAAATGTCACCAATCCTTGCTGCTGTTACCTGGAAAGTTAGTAATGCTCCATATTTATTATTTGTACCTTTCAAAGGTCAACAGGAATATGAACAGCTCTAGAGGACACTTCAATTATTTTTCTAACTGCTTTAGCAATGTTGATGTGATATTTCATAGTAAGTGGAGAATCTACTCTAAAGGGTCAGGTTTTTTAATATTTCTGGCACAAGGGGCCATTGGGGCCATAATCTTCTGTTAACTTTTGCAGAGGGATATCTATCACCCGGTTATTACTTCGTAACAGTTCCCCCATAAATGAGTGCAAAGTGAAAAATGGGCCCTTTTCTCAAATCTAACTCAGTCACCGATCAGTGGTTAGCTGCCTTGATACTATGACATGGGCAGTTATTAGCCCCTGGAGGTGGGGGGAGAAAGAAAGACAGGACAGGTAGTTTCAGGTCCACTTTTGACTGGGGAAACAGCACAGGTAAAAGAATCAAGCCTGTTCCCCAGCAACCCAGCCTCACTCTGCATCACTCCCACTTTGTGACTGATTTTTAAGGTCAAATTGCACTTCCAGATTTCCAGTCACAGGAATGCAACATCACATGTAGCCTGGCCCTAAGCGTGTAAGAGTTGCGCCATACTTTCCATTCAGTCGTAAAATAGAGTATTCACAAGTGGCCACTGTCTCAATTGCAGCCTGCCTCCCCAGTCTGCAACATGAACAAAATTCTCCTGGGATAGATTACAGAGTTATAAAACTTATCAAGTCAGCCCCGGCCTCCATCAGCAATTTGGTGATAATACTCCTATCCTATTCTACAGGGTTGTTGTGGGGATTACTAAAATTATGAGTGTGAAGTGCTTTGGACACTCCAGAGTGCACTAGCAATGTTAAGTAGCATGAACAGGACATGCTGAAATCCTAAAAACATGACCTGTTAGCAATTAACTCAAGTGCAAGGAGCCCAGGATATTTTTCAAAGTTTATTTGAAGACTTAAGGGACAACCCTCTTTGGACATTTCTCACTTGAGTGTTGGGGCTTAGAGATTTCAGCAATTCTACGCTGCTTTTTAAGAGCTCTGTCCATTGCTGGAGCAACATCTACTTTTGTTGGGAGCTCTCCAAGGTCCTGTAACGACTAAAGCAGGTCTAGTTCTGATAAACAGCAGGTGAGGAAGTCCATGTGTTTCTTAGCCATGCCATTTCAGACTACAAGGGGCTTCTAGCCTAGTCTTTCCCATGGCATCTAGTGTTTCTGTGTTTGGGGCACTGTTTTTCTACAGTGGGGCATTCAACTGTGTAAACTCTGAAATGGTACAACTCAGAAACCAGAATTTCTCTAGTTGTTTTAATACTGTTGTTATAACTTGAAACAAAATATCTGATTTGACTCCCCTCCCCAATTTGTGTGTCTGTACTGGCCTATTAGAAACCTCTCACCAAATATTCGGAGTCTTATGGAATCATTACCTAGTGAAAGGTGCCAACAATTAGATAAAGGGTCTAGGAAAGATCATGGCACAGCATGCAGAATTCCTTTTAAGAGTCCAGCCAAACATTTTAAGGGTGATTCAACATTTTCTGTGATTGGTCACATCTGTGAAAATTTGATGCCCGTTGACTGGACTTGTGAATCTTTACTGAGCTCTCTGGTCTTGTCTCCTGCCTGGTCCCTTCATGTGAGTTTGTGGCTGCCACAGGATTCCATTCTGATTTTCACTCAGCTAAGGTGGCTTAAGTGGTTAAGACGCTGAACTGCAGGCTGTGGAAGGTCAGTAGTTCAGCAGTTCGAGACCCGGGTGCCGCATGATGGAGTGAGCTGACAGCGCTGGCTCTTCGGCTTTGAAACAGAGATGAGCACCGCAACCCTAGAGTCGGATTCGACTGGCTTTCGAGCAAGGGAACCTTTACCTTTACCTTTAAGGCAGCCACATGAGAAGATGGTTAACTCGGGGGCTCTCTCACATCAGGTGGTTTTTAATTTAGTTTTTTGGGGGTATTTAAGAACATAAGAACATATGAGAAGCCATGTTGGATCATGCCAAGGGGCCATCCAGTCCAACACTCTGTGTCACACAGTGGCCAAAACCCACGTGCCATCAGGAGGTACATCAGCGGGGGCAGAACTCCAGAAGACCATCCATTGTTGCCCCCCCCGTGCACGCAGAATACAGAGCATCACTTCCCCAGTCATAGCATTCCATCTATACTTTGTGGCTGATAGCCACTGATGGACCTCTGTTCCATGTGTTTATTTATACTTCTCACACTTTGGCTTTCATACCTTGAACATTGGGGAAATTAGCGAGTGACACCTATCTTCCAACAGTGGATTGGTTCTGAACAGCTTTCCCACTGGTGAAAAATCTTGACATCGTAGAATCTGCATGGACAAAGCCATGTGGGAAAGGGACTGTAGTATGGAGGAGAATTTGGTAAGATCAGATGGAAAAATTCACTGGATCCACCCAATGTAGTCTCTGGGAAAGTGGGTGGGATTTCTTCTGTAGAACAGCTGTCTAGTAGCCACAGTTAGGAACAGGCAGGCATTTGCCCAATTTTGTTTCTCACAGCGCATCTGCTTTCTCCATGTTGGGGCTTATGGTACACTCTGGTAGGGACTGCATGAGCTACTGTTAGGGTTGTCACCATGTTCGAGAAATTTTAGACAATGAATCATGAAACGCTGGGCCGAGTAATCAGTAACATCTGCCTGTATTTGCCTGTGAACACAACAATAGCCCAAAGAAAGATATTTTCTTTGTTTTGAGAAGAAAGATTTTTTTTCTTTGTTTTGAGAAGATGTGTCACAGCAGGGTCTGTCTTAGAAGAGACATTCCCTGTTGTGTGTGAGACAAGTTCTTGCCACCTGTTGGTTTTTCGAAACTATTAAAAATAAAGATTTTTAATTCTAAAAAATGGCTGCCCCGTTAATCTGGGACACCTTAACTGGTCAAAGGTTTCCAACCAATTGATTTAACAGTAAGCCTGAGTTTAATAACATAGTGCCATCAACACTACTTTCACGGCTCTTTTTGTAGCAGGAACTCCTTTGCATATTAGGCCACACACCCCTAATGTAGCCAATCCTCCAAGAGCTTACAGAGCTCTTCTTACAGGAGCTACTGTAAGCTCTTGGAGGATTGGCTACATTAGGGGTGTGTCGCCTAATATGCAAATGAGTACCTGCTACAAAAAGAGCCCTTCACGAGTGAGAAAGCACCAGTTCTATATCCAAAAAACTTATGATCTAAATTCGTAAGGTTGAGTGCTCTTATCCTGGAGCAGACACCTGTACGAGATGCACTTCTGGTCTTATCTCGCTTGTATTCCCTGTAACTGATGGTGTGCTCTGATTCCTTGTTTTCTACAAGATGGCTCAGATGCCAAGGTTCCTCTTCTCTCTAAATAATTCACGTATCCTTCCTTCCAGAACCTCAGGAGTTCACCTGCCGGGAGATGTATTCTACCCGCTATATCACCAACGGTCTGTGCCGCAGCATTAAGCCAATCAGGGAGCTGGTCTGTTCCGGGCAGTGCCTGCCCTCCCATCTCCTGCCTAACTCCATTGGCAAGGGCAAATGGTGGCGGCAGAATGCTCTGGATTACCGCTGCATCCCCGCACACAGTCGCCCGCAGCGGGTCCAGCTCGCCTGCCCCGACGAGGAGACTCGGACTATCAAGATCAGAGCCATCACCTCTTGCAAGTGCAAACGGTACACCCGCTACCACAACCGTTCCCAGCTTAAAGATTTCAGCAAAGAGACTGCCCGGCCTCAGAAGAACAAAAAAACACGTCTCTCAAGGGCCAGGGGCAGTAAGGCCAACCAGCCCGAGCTCGAGAACTCCTACTAGCATGAGGTTTTTTTTCGTGAGACCCGGCCTGGGAGTGTAGAGAGGTTTTTTTTGCCTAACGTCCCTCCCTTTTTGATGGAACCCGGATCAAATGGGACAGAAAGAGGGGATAACAGTGGGCACAGTGTTCGTCCCCATCCGATATTGAGGGCTGATGCCGTCAAAAGCTATCAGACACTTCTTGAATAGCTGGATGGGGGTGGGTGGGGAGAGTGGAACTGAGCTCACGGAAGTGGCCATTGGCCTAAGAGTTTAGCATGGGTGGGGGGTTTCGTATGACCCATCAGACAGAAAGAGGGGTGGTTCCCGTACACCACTACATTCTTCAAGACTTCCTTGCCCTTATTTGGTCTGACAAAGGCCCAACACCTCTCCGTTAAAAGAAGCACACGTGCATGAGGTTAGACTGACCCAGCATCTGTAAGGGAGTTGCGCTCACCTGCAGATTTCCATCGCACCCCACAATATGTTGCTGTCCTTTGCTTTTAACTGGCCTGTCTACTAATGCATTGATGCATGCGCGGTGCCTTGTCACACCACGGCATTGTCAGAGATACGTGCTTTGGACTCTGCTGATGGTACGCGCTCACTTTCGCTTCCTGCAGTCATCAGGGAGGCGTTTTGCAAAAGCGCAAGGGCCAAGGGAAGAGGACTTTAAAGTCATGCTATATTGTGCAGAGCCAGGTGTACACCTCTTTGTAGACCACTCTTTTTACTTAGGGAGTGTGTGGGACTGAAAAACAAAAGGAACGGGCCAATTTATCTTTGAAACGGTGTCTCTGGGTGATTATGCATTGGCTTTTCCCTCTGTTGTTTTACAAAACCCATGTTGAAACAGAAATTCCCCTCTGCATTGCAAGCTGCTTTCACCTTCTTTGACAAAAGGATTTTATGGTACCCTCCACACTGCATGCCGCTTTCGCTGTCTTTGACCATCGGGTTTTATGGTACCTTCTACATAGATTTATGGCCATTCAGGGGTGACTTTGCAGTCAGTGCGGCATTGCCCCAGGGTATTTGAATGTGGTTTTGAGCTGCACCTTGTCCTCGCAGTTGAGAAAATGTGGGGCGGATGCTAAATGCAGAATCGCCCCATGTTAGGGACGAGAGCACACAACACAGGAGAAGAAGAAAGCAACATCAATGAGATGGGTGGACAGATGGATGTAAACGTAACTATATATTTAAAAACATCATTTGATGAAGGTTAAGGAAGAAGAGTAGGATGTGGCCCAGGCTGGCTAAGGGCATAATAGGGTCTTCTAGTCCTAAGGAAAGTTTCAGCAAAGCATATGTGGGGTTGACAGCTCCAAGTTGGAAAATTCCTGGTGATTTGAAGGTGGAGCCTGGTGAGAGTGGAGTCTGGGGAGGTGAGGGAACTCAGCAGAGATGTGCTGCCAATAGAATCTGCCCTCCCAAGCTGCCATTTCCTCCTGTGGAACTGATCTCTGCAGTCTGGAGATCAGGGGTAATTCCAGGAGAAATCCAGCCCAACTGGAAGCTGGCCGTTCTAAGTGCTTGCTTCTTTTCTGGGGAATCAAAGGCCGCTCTCATCCCTGTATCTTTGACACTGTGCTTTGGCTGTTGTGGGGAAGTCACCACTTGCAGGGCTGTATGGTGTAAAGTGCAAAGTGTTGCAACACAAAATTCCGACCCCTGATGTCCCCCCCCTCCCCAGTTATTCATGCTTCTTTGTTTGATCTCCTACTGCTTTTGTTTTAAACCTCAATGGGTTTTTTTGCTTCTAAGTGGGATTGGCAATGGACTTGGCAGTGAAAAAGTTCTGTTTTCCAAGACTGAAAGGCATATTTATTTCCCTGTAAAAAGTATTTATGCTATTTGTTCCTTTGGTGGTGTTTTTTTCTCTCCCTTATAGCAACTAGGCGACACTGCTCCAGAGTTATTTAGCCTGTTTCAGAGTTATACAGATATATTCCTAAAAGTATTAAATTAATAAAGTTATGTTTGTGAAAAAGAAGAGTGATGATTTGAAAAAAGCAGAATGCCATTGTGAGAATCAGAAGGCTGGAAGGATCCCGCCTTGGCAGGGAGGTCGGGATATAAATCAAATAAATCAAATTAAATCAACCATGTGGTCAGCTGGTCTAATACTCTGCTCCGGGGAAGGATCTGTTTCAACCTTACATAAACCACACCACCATGTGGGCAGAGGGGGATGGGGCAAAGAGAGCTGATTGTACCAGCTGTTACCTAATCAGGTTTCTCCAGGGAGCTCGAGCAAGTGAGCCAAGTCACACACTGCAGGGAATTTTCAAAACAATCACATTGCCATCCGATGACAAAGTTCTGCATTTCAGCACAAAGAATCAATTGTGTGGGTAAAGGATGGGAGGCACTAGGCTTGGCAGCAGCATGGATCTTGGGTTTGCCATTGAACAGGAGTCGTCGGTGTGAGCAGCCACAAAAAAGGCTATTCTTTCAGGCTGCATTAACACAAGCACAATATTCAAGTCAAGAGAAGTAGCTGCTTCGTCCCTCTTTCATGCTAGTTGAACCCTGGGTTGGATCCAGCCAGCTTTTCAGCAGCTGGAAAAGGAACGAGCATTCCACCTTTGACCATTTTTTCCTGGGTCCTCCCTGAGTCTGTACTGTTCTGGATTACTCAGGTCAGTCTGGATTCAGATATAGGCATGCACTTAAGAAACCCTAGGTGTCTAGTTAGTTTCTGGACAGAGGCAGGTACACCTCAGTAATGTTTCAGGTTTGTTACGAATATAGTACACAATTAATACCATTAGAAAATCTCTGCTTCTTGGTAAAGCATTTATTAAAACGTAACTATTGCATTCTTAACACTGACTAAATCAGCAGAAAACTATACCGTCCACCGTTGTTATATAGATAAGTAATGGAGAGCAATTACACGAATCCATAAGAGTTTCTTACTCCTGAAATAAGCAGGTCATAGGCAAGGAGCCCTTTCAGAAAAGAAGCTCTCGATCAATCCAACTTCTCATATTTATAGGTTTTTAACACCATCTCCTAACAAAAGCAGACTATTCCACTTGATAAGAGTGCACATTCTTGGCTAACCTACAAACCATTAAATTGTTAGATCATTATGTTGTCGAAGGCTTTCACGGCCGGAGTTCATTAGCTGTTATAGATTTTCTGGGTTGTATGGCCGTGGTCTTGGCATTGTAGGACCTGACAATTCGCCAGTAGCTGTGACTGGCATCCTCAGAGGTATAACACAGAAAGAGGGAGTACTCCAACTCCTTTTAACTTAACAAAGTCTATTAAAAATGGAGATTACAAGGTTCTCATACATATGACTATCTTTATAGTATTTGATGTTTTATAAGCAAGTTTCTTGCCATGTAAGCCGCCCTGAGCCCTACGGGGGAGGGTGGGGTACAAATTCAATAAATAAATAAATAAATAAATAAATAAATAAATAAATTTTGGCCTTCAATTAATACACTCCATCTTTGAACCATATCCAGTTCCGTAAAGTTGGGCATTCTTGCCATACTCAGATGCTTTCTGAATCTGGGCCTCAAGACCTCTAATATTTTTTGATATGAATTAGGTGGCTTCTAATCTACACACAGCCATATAATTATGTAGGTAGGTAGGTAGAATTTTGTTGCATGAGGCCAAAGGCCATAACAATATAATAACAGGTACCCAAATAGTAATAAATATTACAGTAAAAACACAACAGGGTTAGAAACAATGTTAAAATTGACAGGACCAGTACATAACATAGAATACAGCATGTTGAACATCGGGATGAAAGTTTTGCATGGATACTCTTGGCAGCCAATGCATACAGTGACATCATATAGGTGACAAAATGATCATCATCCGATAAGATTGAGGTGATAAGAGGCAGATATAATTATGTTACTGCTTTGTTTCCTTGCCCCTCTGGGTCTCTAAACTCCCTTTTTGGCATCTTTAGCTAAGAGGCCAGGCTAGCTTTGTTCCTGTGCACAAAGACATCCTCTATGACCTTGTTGGTCAAGACCAGCTCCCTTATATTTTTGGCTATATCCATGACAATAGGATCACTTAGTATTGCCACCTCTGACTTGGGGAATTCCTGGAGATTTAAGGGTGGTGACTGGGAGATGGAGTTTGAAGAGCAAAGGTAACTCTGCACAGATGTGATGACACTCTAGGACTTCTGTTTCTCCTACAGTCTACAGTATACCATAGAGTCTGCAGGACAATTGATCTGTGTAGTCTGGAGATCAGTTGTAATTCCAGGAGAACTCCAGACTCCCAGCCTTGAGGCTGATAAACCTGGTACTGATAAAACATGTATTGTAAGTTGTTAGCACCCAATACTGATAATCAAGGAATTAATCCTGTGAACATCAAGGTTCCATTTAGTCATTGTAGCTAATAACCACAGATGGAGATAGACTCCATGACAAAATTATTGGTGCAGAGAGAGGCCATCCAGTAAACTACACTAGTTTGGTGTAGTGGTTAAGAGCGGTGGACTCTAATCTGGAAAACCAGGTTTGATTCCCCACTCCTCCACATGAAGCTAGCTGGGTGACCTTAGGTCAGTCACAGTTCTATCAGAGCTCTCTCAGCCCCACCTACCTCACAGGGTGTTCGTTGTGGGGAGAGGAAGGTGATTGTAAATAGCTCTGAGACTCCTTTGGGTAGTGAAAAGTGGGGTATAAAAACCTCTTCTCCTCCTCCTCCTGACTGGGATTCCAGAGAGAATTATCTGAGCGACTCAAGGTGGTCATCACCTCAGACATCACCTCATCAGTAGCCCATTGTCAGAACCCACAGCTAACAATGAAGTACACACATTCAGGAACGGTTATACTTTTATTGCAAAGCTATAGATGCAGTGACACAGGCACTGTTAAGAATGGCGGCAACCAATAGAGCCTAATAGGATATAGGGTATTCGTATGCACCTCCCCATGGCATGGGCCAATTAGGTACCCTCCCGTACGCGGGATAAGTTAGGAAACCGTTAGGTGGCTAAAGCTGGGAACCAGGAGTCTCTCACAATACATAGGAGACTCCCAGACAATACAACCTCCTCCTGCACATCTGTAG